TCAGAAGCTTAATCTGATAAGATTAATAGAAAAGAATTAATTTACAGGCTTTTTTTGTCTGCTCCTCAAATAGATGAGACAAATTTCTCATTAAGATATGTAAAAAAATAAATGAGATAAAAAGATATAAAAGAAACATAAAATAAAATTAATTTTTCAAAATCGGATTATTAAAATTTTAATAAAAATTTTCTTTTTACCTACAAGTTTTTAAAATCTATTATCATTATACTATTAATGTTCAAATTGTTCAACTCATTAGAGTGTTAATATCTTTGCTTTTCAGATTATAAAAGTTCTCATAAATTATTAATGCAGACCTTTTTAAGCATACCAAAGTTTAATAAAAAACTTTTCTACTCTAATCCTGATTTCTTGTATGAGCATTTTATAAATGCTTTTGCATACCACGAAATGGTTACTAATACAAATCCATCACTACTGAAATCAAAATTATTAGAAGAAGGAAATAAAAAGTGGCATGAAATCAAAAAAAAGGAGTATGATAGTATTCAAAGAGAAATTCAAAATCTTTTGTCAACCCCAATTCCATTGCAAGCAACATTTGGTTTTGCAAAAAATTTAAGTATGAGTAAAATCCCAACTTCTTCAAATCAACAACTAATATTACGTCCTTCTACTTTTTCACCATTTCATGAATATGAAATATTCCCCAATGCTGCTGCTCAAAAAGCAGAATGTAAGAAAATTAAAATTGCAAAAACAAAAATTATAGAATTGGAATCCTTGTTTAATTTAGCTACAGACATAAGTATTTGACATGATCTTTCTGTTCAGATGCAAGAAAACAAAAATATTATTAATGAATGTTCAAAAAAAATTGATGCACTTAAACAACGTGCAAATAATCAAGCCCGGATGGTAGCAAAAAAACAAAAGCAACTTAGTAAGGAAGATATTGTTGAGCAATGGGATGGCCCTAGAAGACCATCACTACTTGCACAAAATCTAGATCTTCTTGAAAATATTCACGATTGTGTTGAATTTGGTGAAGCTGACCAAAAGTGTAGAAAATCTGTAATTAAGGTTAGAACTATTACCTATTTAAAAACAGCACTTGAGGAACAATATGCACTTTATATAAGCAGACAAACATTGTCAACTTATCTTTGGCCAAAACATCTAAACATTTTTTCAGCAAAGCGGTATCACCATCCTGCAATAGTCCAAATTCAGTCAGTATCATGAAATGAAAAATCTGATCATATTGATAGCCACTATTGTCTTGCTTCGGTAAAGGGTGCTCAAACTTTTGCTTCATCATTTTCTAATTATTCTATAATCATATCTCAAGATGATAAAGCAAAAGTTCCTTTAGGAATTCCAGCTGTTGGTCAAACTTTTAAATCAATTGAAACAATTAATGAACCCGTTTCTGTACCTGATCATGATTCTTCTTTGGGAAATAAAATGAAGCTTATACCCTCTGTATATCTTTTGATTAACCCAAAGAATACAAATGATAACTTTCGCTCAGGGCATCTTTCAATTTATATTTGGCCTGAATATTTTGTGAGTACTACTGCGGCAACTCATATAGCTGATCTGGTTTCAATCATAAATTCTAAAGAATATAATGAACTAATCTATATAGAAGGCAAAGTTAAACCATTATAGATTTTGATTGTAGACAGTGAACTAGACGAAAATCCAAAACATTTAAAAATATTATTAAATATTGCAAGTTCTTTTGTGCTTTGGATCTTGATTATATTTCAGTCCGTACTCATACGTCAGGACAATCTTCTTATAATCCTGTAGAACATAGCATGGCCTCTCTTTCATCCAAATTAGCTGGCATTGTATTACCTATCGACCATTTTAGTACTCACCTCAACTTGAAAAGAAAAGTGATTGATGAAGAATTAGCAATAAAAAATTTTCGCTTTTCAGGAAAAAAACTTTGTAATATCTGGCAACATGACAAGATTTGTGAAAAACCTGTACAGATTAACTATTTAGATATACATGATGACATGTTTAAAAATAAAGAAATTTCATAAAAGGGATTGAAGAACATTGCCAAATTTGTCATTATTCGCTTGATATCAAAAAATAAATGATCAAACTTGTTGCAAGCCTTCTCAGGCACCAGAAGCAACTGCTTTATTGTAAGAAAATAAAGAATTCTTACCTCCTATTATTCAAGGATGTAACTGACATTTTTTGAACTCTATTCATATTCTTGAATACTTTGATAAGCTTAAAATTCCTCCTTATGACAAACATTGTCTCTCA